ACTGAAGGGTGCTGTCCAAGGGTGAGCCTATTACTTATCCCAAGTAATCTGTTAATGTTACCTTTTGTAGAGAAAGAATTTTTGCACAAATAATGAAGGCTGAAAGTTTGATTATGCATGTGAATTTTTCTGGGCAGACTCTAAATACAGTAAAAACCATTTCTATTAGAATTGGGCAGAGTCAGCAAATTACACAGATACCAGGTTATGTGGCCCTATGAAGACAGAAGCACAGACTGGAGTAATATGCCTACAAGTCAAGGAATGTCCGCAGTCACCAGGAGCTCAGTGTGATCAAGACCATACCCTCCTCTTGAGCTTCTGTAGAGGATGGCTCCATTTTTCTTTTTCAATTTCTGGCCTCCAGGCTCACGAAAGAATACACTTTTTGTTGTTGGTAGTGTTATTTTAAACTACTGTATGAGTAAGAGGTTATTAGGGTGGCCACAAGAAACTAATACACAAAGTGTCAAGAAACTGGAAAAACAACACAAAACAAAAATGGCCTTGAAGAAATACATAAAAATACAGAAAACACCAATTAAAAGAGATAGTAGAATGAAGAGTTAAACTGAGGTCCTATTGCTGTGAAGAGACACCACGGCCACGGCAACTTTTATAAAGGAAACATTTAATGAGGGTGGCTTGCTTACAGTTTCAGAGGTTTTCAGTTTTGCTCTGTTCCAGTGTTTCCTCACTCTGGCCCATTTCCTCCATTTTAGAATGGTAATGATATATTCTGTGCCAGTGTATGTTGGAAATATGTAATCTGCTTTTTTATTTTTATTTTCCAGGCATTACAGCTAAAAGAGTGCCTTGAGTTTCAGAAGAAGCTTTGGACTTTGAATTTTTAGGCAGCTTGGAGACTATGAAAGACTATGGGACTTAAAAGTTGGACTAAATGCAGTTTTCATTATGAGATGGCTACAAACTATGGTAGCCCGGGAATGGAATGTGGTGGCTTGAATGAGAATGGTGCCCACAGGCTCACATGATTGAGTGCTTGGTCCCCAGTTGGTTGAACAGCTGGGGAGGGACTAGGAAGCATCTGGGAGGAGGTGTGTCACTGAGGACGGGCTTTGAGGTTTCAAAAGCCCATGCCAGGCCCAGTGTCTTGCTCTTGATCTGCAACTTGAAGATCAGAGGCAAGCTCTCAGTGACTTCTCCAGCACCATGCCTGCCTGCTGCCACACTCTGTGCCATGATAATAATGGACTGACCCCTTGAAACTTTAAGCAAGCCCTCAATTCAATGCTTTATGAGTCGCCTTAATTGTGTGGGGGGGAGTCTCTTCATAGAAATAGAACAGTCACTAAGACCTTCTAATGGTCCTTTGTCATTTGAAACAAATTGGAAATGTGAAAAAGCTCATTAAATGGATGTTTCATGAGCTAACAGGGATTTTTTTTTTCAATTTTTGTGTTTTAAACTATTGTTCTCTTATTCTAGGCAATGATGAATCATTTCTTTTTTTTAATTAAGTTTTTTTCCCCTAGGGGTGTGTGTGTGTGTGTGTGTGTGTGTGTGTGTGTGTGTGTGTGTGTGTGTGTGATGCTGGTGCCCTTGAAGACAAGAAGAGAGTGTCAAATACTCTGGAGCTGAAGTCCCAGGATATTGTGAACCACCTAACGTGGGTGCTAGAAACAATACTTGTGTCCTCTGGAAGAACAGCAAGCTCTCCTGACTGCTGAACCACCATCTCTCCAGCCCCAGTACAAACCATTTCTTGATTAGACTGTGAACGGTCACCACCAATGGCCAGCTTAGTGGCTGGGTATAAAAGAAGCTCCCAAGCACTTCCCAAATTCAAACTCACACCAACAAAGGTCAGGTCACAATGTTATCGTCGGCTGCTGGTCTGATCCGCCTCAGCTGTCTGAGTCCTGGTGAGACATCTGAGCAGTGTGCTCAGCAAACTGATGAGACAGACTGAACTCTGCAACAGCTGTAGATGGTATCAGTCAATATAAAACGCCCTTCTCCAGGGTGATGCCTCACCCCAAGTTGCACACTCAGGTACTTCAAAAATTGAAGTAATTATGTTACAAGATTTGCCTTATCCAGTATAGGCAGCTGACCTCTCCCCAACAGACTGGCATTCCGTTGAGCGTCTCAACAACTTTTTGCAGGGAAAACCACTTCCACAAACAGCAGAGTGCAGAATATGTTTTCCAAAAGTAAATCAAATCCCAAGGCCTGGATTTTTATGCTACAAGAATACATTTATTTCTTGTTGCCAAAAGGAAATGTGTATTGTAATGGTTCCTATTTTGATTAATAAAGAGTTGTTTGAGCCTAGTTACAACTATTTAAAATTCATGGTCAAAAAAAATGCAATCCTCTTTGCACCATCCTGATAGAAAAACAGTAAACTGTGACCTAAAATTAGCAGAAGGAAAGAGCTAACAAAGATTATAGAAAAAATAAATTAAATAAACAATGGAAAAGATCACAAAAACTATCTTGTATTTTGAGACATAAAGTTGATTAAACCTTTAGCTAGACTAAGATATAAAGAAAAAGATTCAAGTAAATAAAACTGTAGACCAAAAAGGAAAGAATTGAAGTAGGCATCATAGAAATGCAAAAAACAAATATTTAGAGGCTATTGTGAGCATTATAAATTCAATAACCTCAAAGAAATTAATACATTCCTAGAAACTCATTAAGACAACATTAATTATGAAGAATTAAAAAAAAATTGTTTAGGCCAATGGTGAATGAGAATATTGGAACAGTAATCAACCCCAAACCCAAATCAAGGATTGTCGCAGGTCACCTCACTGGTACCCGTGCCAATCTCCTCAGCTCCGCCCCCCACCTCAACAAAACACTGAAGCCGAAGGAACATTTCTATGGGCATTTTACAAGGGCAGCGTTGCTCTGGTACCAAAGCCAAACAATGAGATCGCGAGGAAAGAAAATTATAGGCTAATATCCCCAGGGAAGATGGATGCAAAATCATTAGCGAAACACTAGCAAACCAAACTCAGTATCTCGTTTAGAGGGTCATACACTGTAGAGAAGAGGTGCTTTTCTTTCTGGTGTTATTTCTCTCTCATTTCACATGCAAGGGGCGCTTTGGTTGTCATAGCAGCAGTCTGCGGGTTTCTGTGGCAACCGGGCCCCCTCCACGCTTCCTCTTTGTCATTTTCTGTGTTCCTTCCTAAAAAGCTCTTCCTTCTATCCTAGGAGTACTGCTTCCGGTAGTGACTGCTCCAGCACACCATAGGCTTTCCTTTCAGTCATCAATACATCTTCTGCTTATTAAGTTCCCAATTACTCTCCCCATTCAAATGTTTCCTGACTGGACCTTGCCTGGTGTAACAGTAAGTATGAAACTGAGTCTTTAAAATCTGGCACAACTGAACATTAGAGATCAAATAAAACTCTTACAAGTTATAAGTTTTTTAGTCACCATAAAACATTTATCTGATGGTTAGAAGTTTAATAAATTCCGACCAGCCTGCTCTACAGAGTGAGTTCCAGGACAGCTAGGGCTGTACAGAGAAGCCTTGTCTCGGAAAAAAAAAAAAAAAAAAAAAAAGGATGGGGTGGGTGGGGGGAATATATAGTTGATTAAAATTAAGAGGTTAATATTATTTAAACATGTAAAGATAATAACAAATCAAAATACACAAAGATAAGCCATAACAATTTAATACTTTAACTGTATGGAACTGTTTATCCCAACAATAATTAATTCTCTAAGAATTTCCATATCCATTTACCAATGAGGAAAGGAGCTTATAAGTGTAACATACCTAGGTCACACAGCTTATTACGGTGCAGATTCTAGACTCAAATAGGAGTCTAGAATCTGCACCGTCATCCCAGCGCTACCTCACAGCTGGGCATGGTGGCACATACCTATAATCCTGATCTCAGGAGATAGATTCAGGAAGATGAAAAGTCCAAGTTCATTCTCAGCAACAAGCAAGTTCAAGGCCGGCCTGGGCTTACTAAGACCTTGTCTCAAAATGAATGAATGAATGAAGAGATGGCTAAGTGGTGAAGAACACTTGTTGCTGTCAAAGAGGACCTGAGTTTAGTTCCCAACAATCCATTCCAGGGAATCTGACACCTTCTTCTGGCCTCCAGGTACACACAAGGTACATATACATACGTGCAGGCCAACATTCTTCCACATAAAATAGAAATAAAGATAAAATATTAAAAGGTTTAATTCAAGATTATAGATTAAACATCAGTGAATGCATTTTGGTAACAAGACAGTGCATAGGAAATTGTAATGAAGTCTCAATACACCTTTCACAGCAATTTAGTCCAAGCACAGGCAGGGATACGTGTTGCTATGCTGCCCTCTAGTGGTCATTGTCTCAGACTGTTAGAATGAGCACAGGCTAGCATCGGTGGAGGATGGATGATGGTGGTGGTGATGATGGTGATGATCATGGTTGTTGTTGTTGTTGTTATTATTATTGTTGTTATTATTATTATTATTATTATTTACTCTTTTCTTGTAGCATCTGCAGAAGTTTGTATTTTACATGAAAGACTCTGGGAAGTCAAAATGTTTGCTAATACAGTAGTATTCATATGTAGGCAACAAATCTACAGAGAACTTTATGGACCAGGGAGAGCTCAGAGGATCCCAGTCAAGTCTGTAGCTACAGGTAAAAATTGTTTTCTCAGAATTATACAACAAATAACATGTATGAGAAAGAAAATTCTTTTAAGAAGTCATTTTCTAACTCAGAATGAAAATTACTACTGCAAACCAATTATCATTAATATGCAGGATTAAAGAGAAATAACTACATTTTGCTTGGTACATCAAAAAGATACTCTGGAAGAGAAACTGAAAATCATTTCAGAATACTGGCAGAATTATATCACTGTGATGAAAGGCAGAGGAAATTCTTAGATGTGTGTGTGTGCGTGTGCGCGCGCATACGCACGCACACACGCACACACACACACACACACACGCACAAGCAGAGAGGAAACAAGAGTGGAAAGCAAGGACTGAGAGTGTATCACCCTAGGAGGATTTATTAATTGCAAGAATAAAGTTCTAGATAATGGATGTCGGGAGCACAGGATTGATGGTCTTGCTCAGGGAGGAACGAAGACACCTGTACGACCTCTCAGCAGACTTTCTGTAACAGCAGAGAGAAGCAGAGAGGTTTGTTAGAGCCAAAGGCTGGGTAGGAAAAAAAAAAACTCCCTTCCAAAATTGTAAACATATTCTTTCTTACGTGGATTGGAATTCAAACATACACTGATCTGATCAATTGAATATGAGTATGAGGTATAAGACAAGGAGAAATATCAAACAATTATGCCAGGTGATAGGTATTTGGCTTGAATAAAGATGAAAATGTAGATGCTATTAGCTGATAACGGAGAAAACTTCAAGTATGATCTAAGGAGGCAGAAAATACAGAGTTCAGCATTAGGAAAATTAAGCTTGAGATATCTGGCATTTAAATAGAGAAGTGTAGTGTACAGTTAGATTTACAAGTCTTTTCAAGTTCAGTATGGGTGGGAGAGTGGCCTGTGGGACAGTGAGACTGTAGAACTGGAAGAAAGTACCCAGCGAGTAAACAGTCTAATAACTTACCTCTGGGGACACAACACCAAGAAGTTAAGTAAATAACCAAATGCCACCAAGAGCCTTGGATGAAGAAGCAAGAAAATATGCAATCACTGGTTAGATAATGAGAAGTGACTGCATTCAAAATAGCTACTATATACATATGTATGTATATATATATATATACATATATATATATATATATATATATATATATAAAGTGTGGAGTAATAAACAATAGTAATACGAGTCTCATAAGAAAGTGCTCTCATTTAAAAACAGCCCACCACATCATTTTGTGGCATTTTTGTTGGAGTTGAGGTGATATTCTCTTGTTGTAATAAAAATGATAGCGTATTTAGCAATTAGGCTGAATTCCTGGCCTAACGTCTTCTAAGATAATAACACATGATGAAGGACAAAAAAAGTGAAACAAAATGGATAGTATACAGATGCCTTCATAATGTAGTGTAGTGGTGTGTGCATGAAAGGAATTCCAGAAGGGACTGTGAAAGACCATGATCTGTGATTAATATATGCCTGCCTTTTAGATTTACATTATATACCTCTAGATGATTTGAATTTTTACCATGCATATAAACAAAGTGAGAAATTTAATTTAAATGAGGCCTAAGTGACATATAGAATAGCATGAAAACAAAATTCTAGCACGACTTGTATTCAAGAGAGCAGAAATATACATTTTATAGACAATATGACCAAAATTAAAAATGCGTGGAAACAGACAGAAAATGAATTTGTCAGAAAAGCTAGTTGAGCTTCTCTTTCAATCCCTAGTTCTTTTCAAGCAGAATGGTGCTCTAGAAACCAAGATCTTATAGGTGCCTTGTGCTCCTTGCTTCTACTATTCCACTGCTCCTAGGTGTCTTCAACAGGCAAAACTAGGGGGAACTATAGATAGGCAGACACACAGATCATTTTACCCAGAAATTCTTTGCAACTCAAACAACTGTACGTGTTACTAGGTTTTAAATGTCAAGTCTGCTAGAAATACTCTCTTATGCCACACTGTATCTCTGCAAACACCCATCCCATATATACCTCTGTAAGCTGTTACAAAGGTGGAGAGCAAGCCGGGCAGTGGTGGCGCACACCTTTAATCCCAGCACTCAGGAGGCAGAGCCAGGCGGATCTCTGTGAGTTCGAGGCCAGCCTGGTCTACAGAGTTGAGTTTCAGGACAGGCACCAAAACTACACAGAGAAAAAAAAAAAAAAAAAAGGAGACCAGAATGGTCACTGGTGTGGATGTCAGTCAATTGTGTCCTGCAAACAACATCTGATCAAGAATAAGCAACCAACATTATAACAGTCAAACTGGAAATTTAAATGTCAGTTATGTGGGAAATATAGAAAGTATGTAAGATACAATGCACAGCTGTAGAAGGAACTCATTAATCTAACAAATGCTCAGGGAGTACTATTTGATTCTACAGTACCTGCTGTGGATGAAAATATACAGACTCAGTCCCCACAGTCTAATGAGGTAGGCATATTTGCCATGCTCAGAGTATTTAGTAGGTACTTACTAAGATTCACAGAAGGGACACCACTTTGGAGTAGTTTACAAGGAAAGGTTTTCAAGGAGATGAAGACAATATGATCAAGGATCAGGGCTGGAAAGGGTGTAAATTGTGTAGCCTGGCATTCATAATTCAATATTGTATAAAATTATGTGCAACATGTAATTCAATATTGCTTATTTTGTGATGCACATAATTTAAAAATTGTATAAAATTGAAACAAAAAAAAAGGGAGGCAATGAGAGAGCAAACCCAGGAAGATGGAGCATCTGTATCCATGGCAAAGTGATGAGATTTTCTCCTTTGAAGTAATTTTTAAAAGAGGGTGGTGAGCCAGGGCTACACAGAGAAACCCCGTCTTGAAAAACAAACAAACAAAAAACAAAAAGAAAAGGAATAAAGAAAAGAAAAAAAAAGAGAGGGTGGTAACATGATCAACTTTACATTAGTAAGGTTGGTCTGTTAGTGGAGTGAAAGAAAATTAGTAATCAAAACTGGAGTCCGGACACAGGTAATGAGGCCAGTTCCCCGTAAGACATACTGGCACATACTGGCAGCTTGCCTTTGGCAATGGTAATGATGGATACGCTATAAACTGGGCACATTAAAAATACGTTTGGTTAAAAAAAAAAAGCATCTTAGAAACCCCTAAGGGTATCTTTCCAACACACTGAAGAGATGATGATAGCTTAAATCAAGACAGAGATGTAGAAGGGGGATTTTGAGACTTTTGAGTGGGAAACCCAGCAGCCCCACTTAGCAGGCTTCGGACTGGTGACTTTTGCCATGGTCTCCTCATGGCATTTTTGAGAAGCAAAGGAGATGTGTTTTGTTAGGTATGGGGATACCAGGAAGAACGGAAAAGCTGGCCTCCAGACAGAAGCACGCAACGCCGCCGCCATGCAAAGGACGCCACAGGTTGTGTGGGCGGACGGCTGCAGAGAATGGCCTCTAATTCTCGTGGAGGGGATGATGCACCTAGTATTTTTCCACTCCGGGTGACTCACAGCCCAAGATGGCGCCTGAAGCAGAAATGAGCCAAGGCGGGGGAGGGGGCGTTGGAAAACGTGACGTTCTTCACTCTTGTCCTCAACACCGTGAGCAGGGCCCGTGGGACTGCGAATCCGTCCTCCCTGAGAGCTGGCGTGCAGCGGGGCTGCTGCTCATTCACACTTAAAAAGCATGTTTCATACTGTGGGCGCGACTGCGTGGAGGGGGGGGGTGTAACAAGTCTTTCTCGGCTGCACTGCATGCATGCATACATGCATGTGCATGCATGCCTTCACTCGTTCCCGTTTTCCACGCTGGGCGCGTCGCCGTCAGTCAGCTTCCACTTCGGCTTCTCCCCCACATTCCTTCGGGTTCTAAGGCAGGCCGCTTTCTCCCTCCCCGGCGGCGACAGCACAGCGGGCCTGTCGCCGGCGGAGAGAACGAGCCCCTGGGAGCCGCTTCCGGCTCCACCCCCGCCGCCGCGAGCCCGCGGGCACGAGCGGCCGAGGGCGCTCGGCGGCAGCTCGGGACGGAGAGGGGGCGGGGCCGCGGTCCGGCCGCGCGCTCGGGGCCCAGGGCTGGGTTGCCTAGGCAACAGCGGCCGAGGCAGGCAGGCAGGCAGGCCCTGACGTCAGCGGGCGGCGCGCAGCCCGCACTGCGGCAGCGGGGCCCCACTCTTCTTCAAAGCGCGCGTCGCCAGCGGTGGGTCGCGGTGGCCGAGCCGCACCACCGTCTCCTCCTTGGCCTGGGCGCCGGGTCGGGGTGGGGAGCCGCTTCGCACTGCCGGGCGGCCGCTCGGGCGGGACAGGCCGCGCTGCGCGCTCCTCTCTCTCTCTCTCTCTCCGTGAGTATCCCGCGGGTCGCGCTGTGGCGGGAGCCGGGGTGCGGGCGCTCGGCCAGCCAGCCCCGGCGTCTCAGCGGGGCGGCGGCGACGGGGGGCGCTGCTGGAGGCCCGGAGCGCGGGGCAGCCCTGCGCCACGCGGGTCGAGCTCGGCCTTCGCCCCCGCGGCCGAAGGATGCGGCTGCGAGCTACTTCGGTCTACTTTCCCGCTCTCCCGCCTGGTCCAGGCTGGCCCAGCATGGTGCTCCGGTGGAGGGGATGCAGCCTCTTCCCTTTCTACCTCCCCGGTCGGGATGCGTACCAAAGTCTGTTCCCTGTTAGATGTCAGCCTGCTGGATGCTAAATGACGTGCCCTTAATTACATCTAAGAGTGATCAATGTGTTCTATTTGTAAGAAGAGTCAGATTATATCCTTAGGGTCGTTTCAGTATGCGTAACATACCCCCCCCCCGTCCCCCCGCCCCCCCAGGAACGGAGGCCACTCAAAAATCTACTAAATGCTTGCTCGGCCTTTATTGTTACTGGAAAGAAACATACGCAGACACATTCCTCTCCGTTTTTAAAAAGAAAAAGATGCTAACAGGTTTTTCACCTGTTGCGTAAATGGTTGTTGCTTGAGCTCGCAGGAGAAGATGGGGACGAGGAAGATGGGGAATTTTTGAAAGAATATTTGAAACAAATTCAAATGCCAAAAGAATTTTTTAAACAATGTTTAGAATATTATTTACTTATGTGGACTGTCGCTGATTTATTGGTTGAAATTATGCAAACGTAATTTTTGTTTCTTTTTTTCCTTTGCGATGTAATTTTGTCAGTGAATCATCAAGTGCGTATGCTTTTTTTCCTTGCCTTGATGTGTAGGCGCATACTCCATGTTTTTCAGAGAGGAGGGAGGGAACATAATCCAGTTAATTTTTCTGCGTAGTCTCTCTTAGAAGCTCCTGTAAAGCTTCTTTGGATGGGGAAGTCTAAAATAATGGTATAATGATACCTAATATCATGTATGGTAATTTTAAAAATCAAAAAAATTGTTTTGTAAAATGACATATACAAAATTCAGAGATGTTTTATTAAATCTAACCTTAAATTTTGGTGATGTTATTAATTAAATGAGTTACTAATCCTATGTGTTTTCTGTAGTATATATTAACATTAAAAGATGATTATTTCTGTAATATATTTAATGTGTTATCATTAAATATTAGTGTCTATTCAGTTGTGCCTCAAAATATCAAATAATAGTAGATAATATATTTAATTAATGGTGTATTTTCTTTTTAAATTATTTATTTGTTGAATGGACATAAAGTAATTTTACTGAGCACCTGCAATGTGTGATTATTTTATTTTTATGCAATTTCTTTTTTCTCCTTTCAACAAGCAGGTGCCATTTTAAGATCGCAGGCATTAAAAAAAAAAAAAAAAAGGCCTAGTGAAATTAATACCTTACCCAAAGCCATTTATCAGTATTAGAATCATTATTTACTGCTTTTTTAAAAAACTGAGGCACAGACCTGGCCCTCCAGAGGCTAGCAGTGGGGGGGGGGGGGGGAGAGAGAGAGAGAGAGAGAGAGAGAGAGAGAGAGTGTTGGGAGTTGGGGGGGTGTCACAGAACAGACCATTTTACAAGGATGAAAGTTTAGGGTTGAGATCAATGTACTGATGAAGATCAAAGTATCTTGGGGTACTGGTATCAAATTCAGGATCTTGCAGATGCCTACCAGGCATTTTACCATTGAGCTGCATCCTCAGCTTCCCTTCCCCACAACAGCCTAAAAAAGAAAAATCCTAAAAAAAAAAAAGAAAAAAGAAAGAAAGAAAGAAAGAAAAAATCAGGATGTTTTTATCCTTCTAAGGTGGAAGAAAATTCTAGAAAGAATTTATCTACATGCCTCTCCCACATAACACATTCTTTAAACCTGTGGCTGTCAGCTTTCTGTAAACAGCTATGGCACATGTGGCTGCCTAATTGTCAATCTTGTAGGCATCCTTCAAATTTTGCAGCATCTTTTGACACCACTCAGTATACATTATTTTCTCTGTGTAATGCTCCTTTTCTCATTGTTTTTTAAAAAAAGTCTCCTTGAGTTCTTTTTATCTTGTAAAGTCCAGAGTTAAACCTTTTGGCATTTTGTGTTACTGAAACCATCACATATATAGGTGATGGCCAAATCTGCAGCCTCTACCTAATGGTTTAATACTTTTCTCTAAACATAATATTATGCAATTATTTTTATTAAACAATGTTATGATGGCTGTTATTACTGCTTTATATATTTGAAAGCTTGCTATGTGACAAATACTGTACCGAGTGTTTTGCTTATATATTCTTATTTGCTCTTTATAAAATCTTATGAGTGATTCACTTTTATTCCCTTGAAAAATTAAGAGATTGAGGTCCACAGATAACAGTCTTCTGGCAGTTGAAACTGGGATTTGAACCCAAGAGTCTTATAACTAATCTGATGTTTGCAGTTGCTTAGTACTCCTCAGATGCCCAGTCAGTGTGCCTCACACTAAGCTAAGTGCCCCATAGGAATTACCTATTATAAGTGTACCTACTATTTATTGGTACTTGTTTAATGCACTGTGGTAAGTCATTTTACTGTTAGAATAGCCCATAGGACAGTGAGTAAGCACTGTCAAGTCTACAAATAAAGAGGTGAATGAATGTCTAATGTCACACACATGGGACACTAATGCTAAGAGTTGGGCTTAAAGCTACTCTGGAATACTAATTGCATTATCTCACAGCTAATACTATTGTCCCATTATTCTAGTTCTAGACACAGAAGGAACCATCCTCGATTCTCCTGCCTCTACTAGTCTTTTAATGTTTCTAAAATATCAAAAAATTTCTGTTCAAGGGCGAAGGTATGACCAAAGGTCTGATTACACTGGCCCTTGTAGCCTCTCTCTTGTAATTTGTTGTGGATTACAAAGTAGATGCCCAGGAAAACGTTGAGGATAAGTGACTGTTGAATGCTCACCTCTAAATAGGACATCTGTATCATGCCTTCCCAGCACAGGTAGCATCACAGAGGAGTGGATGGGGAAAAATGGAGTAGCCGGAGGATGGATGGAATGTGCTGAGGAGAGATGTCTTCTGGACATGAGATAGTCATTACATTTATAAACTCCCTGCACCTGTGGTTAACCTGCACAAGGTTAGGCCCCTCAACATTTCCACATGGACAGGCCCCTTCCTTCCCTGCCTTAGGGACAGTTGGCAGAATATGGTTGCTGGGCGAGAAAGTGGCATTTTCTTCAGCGATGTAGTCACTGATAAGTTACCAAAGCTCCAGGAAATAACTGTGGCTTATGCTATACAGTCACCTTAATTAAGCTCGTGGGTCACACACAAGGACCTGAAAATTGGAGGGGGACTTAGTAGGGAGAGGGTTTCGGGGGGGTGGCAGGTAAGAGGGAAATGGCAGTGAAAACAACTAAAATTCATTATCTATCTGTATATATGAAACTGTCAAAAACTAAGATTTTTTTTTTAAAAAAAAGAAAGTAGATGACCAGGTTTATTAGATCTGTATCTACCTGAAGAATAAATACAGTCTTTTATCAGTAAAAATATAATAGATTTCACTGCATGTATTAATTAAGGGATGAATTGTTTTGTGTAGCTAGCTACATAATTAGATTCATTTGTATAATCATTCTTTTCTTTTTAGTATTCTCTTTCTCCCCTAAAGGATCAAGGATGAGGATGCCTGAGAGACCTGGAACATTAACTAATAAAGCCTGAGTCAGTTCAAAATACGTTTTCTGTTTTTCATTTTCTTTCCTCCCTTCTTCTCTTACTTTCTAATATTATCTCCAGTTTTAGTCTTGAAAATAGGAATGTTGTATTCTGAGGTAAGAATTGATATTTTCATTATAGATGCATGTCCCCATCCTTAAATAAAACTGGCAGCTTGGGGAAATATGTGCCCAGTTTATCCATGCTTTCAATAGCTTTGACACAAAACATATAAGGTATTCATTAGGGAAAAATGGTACAAATGCTGTGCTAACCTTTTCTTTTGTCACATAATTTTCAGTGGCATATACAGACATACTTAAATTCATTATCCATGAGTGTGCTACTCTGCTGGTTAACTTTTGTCAGTTTGACACAAACTAGTCACCTGGAAAAAAATAACCTTAATTCAGGAATTGCTTCCATTGGATTGGCCTGTGGGCATGGCTATTGGACATTTTCTTGATTAATGAGTGCAGTGGGAAGGCCCAGCCCATTGTGGGTGGTCCTGAGTTGTATTAGAAAGCAAGTTGAGCAGGCCAGTAAGCAGTCTTCCTCTATGGTTTCTGTGTCAGTTGCCACCTCTAGGTTCCTGCCTTGATAATCCTGCCCTTCATGATGGATTATGATGTGCAAGTGTAAGCCAAATCAACCCTTTCCTCCTCCAGCTTAACTTGTTCAATGATTTATCATGGCAAGTAAGGCATCTTCCCTCCAACTTATGCTTACTAGTGTGTAATAAGTGTGTCCTCTTGACAATTTGATTTCTTCAAAGCCTGTTAAGACATTCCTTATTAAAATAGTTTTAGAAGTTTAACATACAAAGGGAGATGTTTACTGTTTTTCTCAATTTTTTGTTTGTGTATATAGAAGAGTTTATCAAATATAGTGCAGTTTGCTTAACTTCAGGACTCTAATTGAAATGTAACAGAGCTTTAGAATGAACCTGATGATGTAGCAATGACATTATTACGCAGTCTTTTTCTTTCTTTTTATTGTTTTGTTTGTTTGTTTTTTGAGACAGGATTTCTCTATAAAAACAGTCCTGGCTGTCCTGGAACTCTGTCTATAGACCAGGCTAACCTCAAATGCACAGAGATCTGCCTGCCTCTGCCTCCCAAGTGCTAAGATTAAAGGCGTGTGCTACCACCGCCCAGTTTAATAGCACAATCTTGAGTGCAAGATGTTCTATCATTTTTTTATTTGGACATCCCACATTACAAATTAGTCATCTGTTTTAATAGGATTCTAA